TCAGCAGAACTGACTGAAGTTGGTGAAAAAGAAGTGAAAATTAATCTAGGCCAAATTAGCCTCACTGAAAGGCTAAAAACACATCGTTACTAATCAGTGTTTTAAATGTGACTAAAACAGGTAATGTGCATAACTGTTTTTATCACCATCATAATCACAAGTAAATGTAACAGATCTTTAGGGAAAAAAACCTCAACATACCAGAAATCCTCAAGCAGAAAAATCAGCGTTTAAAACTGAATATTCCATGTATGTCATTCCTGTAAAATCCCTACAAGTTAATTCTGCTGTTCTCTTGTGACACTAGTTGCATCATGCAACTTAAAACATGTTTGTTCACTTTACTGTTTGGTTACACTGTCAGTATATTAAATTTCAAAATATTGCTATAACCCTGGAGCTGTGCAACCTCATTTTGCTTGAGAAACTCGTGTGCCTGATTCTAGTCTGTGTGTGTCCAGCAGTTGGGATCCAAGGCAGCACATGAGATGCCCTCAAAGGGAGGAGAGTGGACACCCCAGTCTAGTAGAAATGCTAGTTTTGAGCTCTTACCTCCAATTTCTTCACCATGCAGTGCAAATACAAAATACGGATTCTGTTCTGCTCTTTGTGGTCATTTTACTTCTCGTGCTTGGTCAGGTCAGCACAGTGCCAAGGTTTAACTCAATGGTTGTAGACAACTGGAAGTGGCATTAGAGTATTACTAATACACTGAAGATGTCTGATGCATTTTCTGAAAAGAAACAGGTGACTAGACCCTGGTGGTTGTTGGTTGGGATTTTTGTGTTCCGTGTTTTTCCTTAGTAAAACACAAGTCAGGATCTGTGTCTGCCTCTACCCAGCTACCTCAGGAATACAGGAAGGAACATCCTCCTGTTTTGCACACACAAAGCCACCCCAAAATAAGGATTAATTGGCAGTGTTTTAGGCTCATTGCAGAGGCATTGGACTAGGTGACCTTTATAGGCCCCTTCCAACCCAACTATTATGTGATTCTATGATAGCACAAGTGCTGTAGAAAATAAAAATACCTTCAGCTATTGGCACAACCAAGAGGATCTAAAAAAAAGAAAAAAAAAGCTGAGCCAAGTTCAGAAAGCCACAGAGCACCCTGCTCCCCTCAGGGCACTGCCACCCATGGGGAAAATACTGCAAGACTAGTTGCAAAATTCCAGGTGCACCCTAAAATCTGCAACTTTTGACCTATAGCCACAGAGCATGGTCGTGATGGGCAGTAATTATTGGGAGCGAGGGTGGAAGGGAAAAAAAAAACCAAACCCACTTGCCCAAAGAGTAATGCTGCATGTAAAAAGTCCCATCTTAGACAAGACACAAATGTGGTACCTGCCAGTTGAGAAGCCAACTGTTTTGT